GCCTATTTATTATCAAAACAGGAGTGATTTTTGGTGACAATAGAGCACTTTGGCAAAGCTCTGTACATTTCTGACACAAGTTACAAGAGCAAAAGTTTAAACAGCAGCTTATCTCTTGTCTCCATTTCCCATCTGTAAAATGGGGGATAACGGGCCTTCCCCGTCAAAACGCTCACAAGGTCTGTTAAGTGTTCACGTACGGTGTCCAAAACGCTAGCCACTAGCCACATGTGGCTGTTTGGTCAGTTGAGTGTGACTAGTTCACTATAACAGTAGCCACTATAGTGTCTGCTGCTTCAGAACTGGTCGGACACTACAAACTTAGATGGATCTTATCAGCAGGCGTATAAGGGCTGCAGGATAGAAAACAAGTAATAAATCACAGCTAAGAGGCCAAGAGAGGCATGAGGACAGAAATTGAGTTTGTTCCAGCTTGTGGGTGAAAGCGAGTCTGGGAGAGCGTCCGCTGAGCGTGCCAGATGAGTGACAGGCCGTGCAGGGAGCGAAGCCAAGTGGTTGGGGAATTTATGGTTCCCTCTGGTTGTCATCCCCACAAATCCTTTCAAAATGTCATTTGCTCTGAGCCAAGGCTGCATCTTCCCTCTGACTCCTGTGCTCTGGAGCAGAGAGCAGGCGGCAGACAGAGGCGAAGCATTGAGAGAGAGAGAGAATGAAACCAGAGGAATGAAGGGGGGGAGAGGGAGAAAAATGGAAGTGGGGGTGGTGGATTAGGACAAAAAGTGAGTGAAGGGCAAGAAAGTGTGCAGGATGTGGGGGAGGAAAGGGGGAAATGGTGTGAGTGATTCAAGAGAGAGGGATAATTTAGGTGCTAACTGGACCTGAGGGAAAGGAGAGGGTTTTCCTTTAACACAGGAATCCTGGGGCATTCAGGGGAGGCAGGCCCACTGCAGCCCCCACCCAGCTCTTGCTCCTGCCTCCTCAGTTTTAACTAGCTCCAAGCTCCTTGGGCTATTCCATATTGTACAGTATGTTCCCATAGAGAGCGTGTCCCAGGCCTGGCTCCTCTCCAAGTCTTCAGTGTCCAGCCCCTCTCCCCCACACAGCCCAGCCCCAGCTCCCCCTTCTCTCCAACAGCGCCTGCTGCATGAACATCTCTAAAGAAATAGACTGCAGTTCAAATGAATATCAGCTGGGAAATCTGATAGGCCAGCACAGAGGAACTTGAGACCCTGGGTGTCCTGTGCCTTCCAGCCAGCGTATCCTGAGCCTCAGAGCTTTTTAAGCAGCACAGGTGGGACTGAGAGGGTGTGTCCTAGGGTGGCCACAGAGTGAGGTGCAGAGAAGAATACAGGAACTGCACAGGCACAACAGCCTGCTTCAAATGGCGTATGCCTGACCTGAGAAAGCGATGGCACTTAGCAGCATGGTGCATGCAGGGCCCTAGTGCTTGAGCAGGGACATTGGAGTGGGGCAGAATAGGGAAGTACTTTGGGATTGTGCTCTGGTGAGTAGCACTGACCCCGACTCTCCCATCTCATGCTTCTTCCTTTGCTGGGTAGGGGAGGGAGGGAAGCCTCACAGGGAGAGCAGGAGCGAGAATGGGACAAGTTCTGTTCTGTTACCCTGCTGTAAATCTGCACCAGCTTCACTGGGTTAAATTAGGTAATTCTGGATCACCGAGGTGCCCCTGAGAGCAGAACAGGGCCCAGCAGGCACCATTCTCTTTCCTCTTTTGCCGACGTGTGAGTCAGGCCATAGAAGGCCCTCGCACGTATTTCTACTGACCCTGCTGCTGACTGGTATTTGTTCACCTAATAAACTTGTGTCCCTCCTCCCATCCCTTGAGGAAAGGAGCCTGACTCCTGTCTGCCAGGCCAGTGTGTTAAGATGAGACCGCTCTGTGGGGCCCTAGGCAGGGCTGTCAGCAGAAACCAGCCAACTCCCCTGACTTGTATTTCTCCTTTGGGCTGAAGCCCAAGCTGTTTGAATGGTTGAGGGCAGGAGGGGCTGAAGAGGGAGCTGGGCTGAGGATGGGACCCCTGAGTTGGGGGTGCTGAAAGTGAGCCCAGGCATTGTCAGCACCTCGTCCCATGGCCCACGCTGAGGGGGAGCTCAGTTTGGGTCTTTGTAAGGTGCCTGTGAGTCTCTGCCTGCACCCAGGAGACGTCTCTGCAGGACGTGTCTATAATGGAGCCTAACAAGCAGTCCAGTCTTGCAGGAGCCACGTGTGCCTCTTCATTACACTAAGGACTCAGGCTGTTACCTCCCCATGGGCCCAACCTCCTGAACTGTGGTCAAGTGCCTTCAGAGGGTCCCAGGGCACTCAGTCACTCTAGTGATGGACAGACAGCATTAAACACCCTCTGGGGGCTAGGATCCTGCTGGAGAAGAGCTGATGCTCATTCATTCATTTCTAGCATAACTCCCGCAAACACAGCCCACCCAGGAACCATGCCGCTTTCTTACCATCCATAGGGGTCAGCAGCTGACCCCTTCTGTGTTACGGCCTGATTTTCTGTTCACTCCCAGACCTCTGGGAACCATCCGTCCCTTACAGGTACAGGCTTGGCCTGGTCTCCTTTCCATAGTCCTGGGCCCTGCCCCTATTTCAGTCTGGCTGTGGCCAGTGGCTCAGTGTGGTGGAGAAAGGAGAGAGATGGCCCCGGAGATAACTGGGCCCACGCTCAGACCTTGACTTGGCTCTGGAACTCGGCTAGCAGCCAGCTCAGTGTGAGCATTGATGGGACGCCAGTCTGTCTTGCTGAGGTGCTAGTCACGGGGAGCTTCACTAGCCCCTGGTGTCAAACCCAGACAGGGGCAGTTGCCACAGCCAGCCTTCCCGCCCAAGAGGAATGATTAACATTTCGCAAGCCAGAGATAGGAGGCTACCTGAGTCTCTAGGGGCAATGTGGAGTCAAGCAGGATTGTGAACCTAGGTCCCGCTTTCACCGTTAGCAGGCAGTGACCTTTACAACAGGGCCTCAGAATGCTTCCTCACTGCCCTGGGCTATGCAGTAGCAGCAGCTCTAGTCACAGGTCCTAGCACTGTGGCTGCCCTGCTAGGGGAGCCCACAGTTTGCATCTGTCGACAAGCTGGCTGCTAGGCCTGTGACATGTCTCAGTCCTCCCTAAATGGTGCCACACGCCTGCTGAGTAAGAGGCTCTAGGATCCAGTCCCCTGGGGCAGTCCCAGTTGGGGAGAGGGGAAACCCATCACTGCTCTCGGCTTTGTATCCTATGGAAGAATGGAGCCATCTCCAAGGACTCCCACTACATCTAGTGGGGGAGCAGCCTCTCGGTGATCCATGCTGCCAAAGGCTCTGGGACACGGCTGTGGAGTCGGGGAGCTGCTTCCGTACTGCGGCTGGCTCAGGAGACTTGGGTGGGAAGCAGTATCATGAGAGTGTCTAAGGGTCACTTACTTTCCTGTTGCTTCTTTCACAATTAATGTTCATAAAACCAAGTGGTGGGACTCTTCTGAGAGCATCCTCCAGCCACAGGGAAGGCCTGCTCCCGTGCCCCCTACCCTGTCCCTAGACTGGGCGAGGTGGTCAGGTTTTACCCTGCCTGTTCCTTTTAGCTCTAGGTGCTCTCTGTATTCCTGTGCCCCAGAGCTTCTTCAGGCACTGGCTGACTGCCTTTGTGACTCCTGGTCTCAGCAGTTTGAGTTCCCAACCCCGCTCTTGCCAAAGACAGCATCTGAATCTGATTTTCCGCTTTGCACTGGGAAGGCTTCTACAAATCCTTGTTTTATTTGTCTGCAATTCAGGTCAGGTCTCATGGGGCCTTCTCCCTTGGCTCCCTCTCTTCCCTCCCCTGCCTTGTGTTCTCTAGTGCCTGACTGGAGCCTGTCGTGGCTAATGACACGGGGGCTTTTCTATCCCAACACTTAGTTAGTGCCCACAAATCTAGGGCCCCAATCTCCCACTGCAGGTTCCCTGTAGCAGCCAGTGGAGTCCTATGAATCAGGCCTCTACCAGGAAATAGGTTTAATGTGTGGGTGTGCCTCTGGGTCAGGGGAGGGGGGGGTTCCATCAGGGTGGGTTGAGCTATCAGCTGCATAGAGAGATGCCCCCAAAGATTCAGGTGCTTGAATAAACTCTTCAGATTGTGGCTCTGTAGAAATGCAGCATTAGGAGATGTCTCCTCAGTGCCACAGGGTCTGGACTGGGCTGCCGCAAGGACGTACCAAAGATTGTCTGTGGCCATGGGCAGGCCATGGTGCAGCCCACCTGGCAGGGATGTGAATCCAACAGGAACTGTTTCCTTTGCGATCATTTGCAGTTCTCTCACACGCTCCTTTCCCTCAGGTTTTGGCTGCACCGGGGGTAAGAACCTGTAGAGTCTGCCCCTGACCGGCCGCTTTGCATGCAGTCTCTTGAGTGTGGCTCACAGCTGTGTGGGGGCCATAGGGGCACCGGGAAGGCTGCTTTCTCTGGCAGGCCATGACAAATCACGCTTGCCACTGGTTTACTCTTGCAGTAATTACGGGGCTCCTGGTGCCTCAGTGAAAGCGACAGAAATAGCCCCAGGTTGTCAATGCCCTGTTCTCCTTTCTGCTGGTACCAACTGGCATAATGAGCCCTGATGCCTCAGTGGCTCCCCTGGGAAGGGGGCAAGGGCTGCTCAGTGCGTTAAAGGTGCCAGGGATTTCTTCATCTCGTTAACATCCTGCAATAGCTGCCTGCAGCCAGGCTAAATAATTGTAGCTCCAGGCTGACAGCGTGTCCTAGAAAGCAAGCACCAGGTCTAGCAAATGAGCCACATTGGCTTAGGGGGTGCGGGTGTTTGCTGGGGCAGGGATAATCTCCGTGTAGGCAGGTCTGGCTGGCTGGAGGGAGTGGAGGGCCTTGTCACTAAGCTGTGGCCTGCAGCCCACACTCCTCTTTTAGGCTAACTATTGCTGGAAGGCTGAGTCCTGAGCTGGGAAGTTGGCAGGCAACCCTCCCCCCCATCTCCTCCTTCAGTCACCCTGCATGTCTTGGGCATGTCAAAGTCCCCTGTGGGCTCCAGCAATGGTTTGGGCTCACAAAGGTGGTTCCTGTGCCTCGCCTCTCCAGGTCATTGGGCCAGAACTCCTGGGCTGGGCGGGGTGAGAGGCCAAGAGGCCCAGCCCAGGGTGAATCTGCATTGGGTTGATCACACTGCAGTGGATCCGTTCCTCAGCGAAATATTGCTCAGGTGTGGATACGAGTTAGTCACATAACATTTGCCTACACTGCAGTAACACCCCCCTCTCCCACTGGCCTGAGCCAGGTGACACAGGCTGTTCAACAGGGTGTTGATACTCAGGTCTGGGTGGAGATGAGGCTCTAGGACCCTGCAGGGGGGGAGTGCTGGCTCAAACTGCAGCTGGTGCTCCAGGAGCCTGACTCAGCTGGCACAGGCTAGCCAGGGTGCCTTGCCGCAGTGTAGGCAGGTGGCTGACATGTTGCTCGGGAGACTGATGCTCAGACTTCAAGCAAGATGCTGGGCCAGGGCCGGGGGTATATGCTGTGCTCCCCAAGGTGCAGCTGCTGGGCCTGGCATTCTCCTGGGGGACAGTGAGTTCAGTGTGGGAGAGAAAAGCCCCTGGAATCTACAGTGGGTACCTTGTGTCTGTGCGGTGAGAGGGTGGGGACAGCTGCACTGTAGCCCCTGCCATGGCTGGGACGCTGCATTGTGTATGCAAATTACAAAAGCACGATGGGGCTTGTGTGCAGGCATCTCATTAGACTTCATCCTATGCTGGGACTGAAGGCCTGAGGGGTCAGTAGGCATGAGGGGCAGGACTGTTATGGAGACCAAGACAGGGGAGCAGCTGCTGGGGGTGATGTGGGTGAGAGAGGATCAGGCAGCGCACGGGGTGATGGGCCATGTGGAGGGAGGATGCAGCAGATGATCAAGGAGCATCTGTACTTCTAGAAAGAAACAGGCAGAACCTCTCCAGCTCACTCAGGCTTTTGACCCCTTTGGGCACAGATAGGTAGGTGTGGCTCATACCAACTGGTCTCCTCTCACTCCTGTGCTGGCACGGCCTACTCAGGTACGAACGTGGGTGGCTGCTGAGCCACAGAGCTATTTTAGTGCACTAGCTTGAGTAGACGAGTGTAGCTCTATCACTTGGTTTGATGCTCACGCCTCTTTATTTCATCAGCTGGGCCTGGCGATCCAGTGGGAGCCCCGCTCCGTGCTGCTCCCACCCTGCCCTGCCTCGGGGAGGGGAAAGCATGCACCTCGGGAGCTTTCAGACGTGCATCCAGAGCTCTGCTAGCACCTCGTTCTGACTGACTTTAAATGATCTCTCAGCTCCGATATGCAGCCTCCCTCTACCGAGCCCTCTGGCCAAGAGACTGCATGTGGACTGGGGCTACAGGAATCCCTTGCCCAGCAGGCCTCATCCCTCTGCCTGGCCTCTTACCACCTCAGCATGCTGAACGTTGGCCTCCCCTCTGAGCCACCCTTCTGCCTGGATGGGCCTAGGCAGGGCAGGTGCTCGGCCATTGGGCTGAAGAGTGAAATATTGTTGGTGGCTCTCTGATGTTCAAAGCCTGCCCCAGAGGCTGTAGCTCCCAAAGGGGTTTCTCAGTGCTGCAGGTCACACTCTCATTACCTGATCTGGGGCCTGCTGTTGTTTCTTTTCCAGGTCCTGCTTTCCAGAAGGAGCCATTTGCTGTTGGAGACCCACGTGAGTTCTTCCCACACCCCGGCACCTTTCCCCGGATCATGCAATCCTAGGGCTGGAAGAGACCTCAGGAGGTCATCAAGTCCAGCCCCCTGCCCAAAGCAGGATGCCAGGCCCTGATATAGCCCATTATTTTGTTGGGGTCTGTAGTGGGGTCAGAAAGGCCTAGTTATCCTCTTTTTCATCCCTGCACATCCACTGCCCGCTGGCCCGCATGAGACAGGGACACAACTGAGGCAGGGGCATATGCACTTGCTCACCATTGCCCTGGCTGGGGACTGGCTTAAGGCCGCTCAAATGGTTACAGTGAACAGGGTTGTACAGTCCCCTGGACTGGCACCTCTCCTGAGGGCTGAAGAACATCAATGGTCAGAGGGGAGATGCAGAGGAAGGCTGCTCAGCTGTTGCCCAGGCTGACCTGTCCTGTCTGTGTTCACTCCCATGGCTGTTAGTTTGGCCCCTTCACTAGCACCCAATTGCCATGTAAAGTTGTGGGCTGACTGGCCAGGGCACTGTTCACAGAGAAGGCCAAACGTCCTGCATTCACCATCAGTCTCCATCACTCTCGTGAGGCCTGGTAAAACAGCTGCTGAAAATGGCGTCTCAGCAGGACAGGGAGAACTGAACCTGCTGCTTTGCCTTGCCACGGAGGAGCGGCTGCAGCTTCCAACCCCACCAGGCCATTCTCACTCTCATTACCCCAAGGGAGCCATGTATCCCCATCAGTGTCTTCCAGGGAGCAGGAGCCCTTTCAGGGGAAGTCAACCAGCAGAAAACAAGAAGCAGACAGCAGGGGGCAGGATTTCCATGGTAAATGCCTTGAGCATGGGCTGGGAGCTCTGTTAGCTGGACCCTTCCTTTGGCTTCACTCTTTAGCGCTTCCCTTTGGAGCTTTTTGTTTCTCCATAATCTCATGCCATGATTAAAAACAAAGCCAAGAGAGGCTTCCAAGGCTATTCACTTTGGAGCACAAACTGCTGCCGTGAACAGCTCCTGGGGAGAGGGCTGCCGGGGCAGATGGGAATGGTACAACACAATGAGATTTTCAAGCATTTGCTACAAACAACATTGGTCTGGGAAAATGCTAAGGTTTAAAGAGACACGACTGCTCAGATTAAGCAACCGCTCACTTAGCTCCCTTCGCTTTCTCACAGTGGCTGCTTTTCAGCTACAGCTTCAGTTACGGGGAGGCAACAAGAGTCTTTTCTCCAGATTGTGAGAGAGGGAAGGAGGCTGAAATTCACTCCATTCATCTGGGTGCAGAATGCAAGAAGGAGACACCATTAAAAGAAATTGGATCTGTTCTGCTGCTAATTACACGGGTACCATCCCAGTAAAGCCAATGGAGTGTAAGAGGTATAAGTGAGCATAATGTAGCCTTCTCTTGCCTTAAGTCTGCATCTTCTCCCCATCTCATTAGAATAGATGTAATAAGAAGAATGTCCTATGAAAACCAAAATGCCCTGTCTACATTCCTCAGTCCTGACCTACAGCCCTCCTGCTCCTCTCCCATTACTCTGCTATTCCAGCCCTGGTCTGTTCACGCACAGCTTTGCTCATACATCTCAATCCTGGTCTGAAGCTTCCTGTTATTCCAGCCTTGGGCTCCTCTCAGACAGCTCTGCTGGCGAAGCTCCATTGTAAAAAGTCTAATATTCAGAGCTAAAAAGTGTATCCCAGTAGAACTAGAGGGTACGGGGAGAGATATGGGAGTGGTGATAGGAAAAAGCAATTAGGGAGAAAGGGATATAATTGTCCACTCTTTTTTGGCAAAACCAGAGGCAACATGCAAAGAAACAATATGGCTAAACTCTTGGGAAACTTGGTGAAAGGAGCCCACGATGGCCGAGGCAGGAGAGGGCAGAAGGATGCCTGTGTGTAATATTCTTCCTTTCTCTCCTCCGCACTGCAGAATTCATGCATAACCTCTCTGCTCAGCCCTGGCAGATGAAAATGGCCAACCTTACCTATGACAACTTCACCAATGGCAACCGATCTGAGGTGGCCTTGCAGCATCCTTCTAACCACTATAAAACTGTAGAGCTCGTCTTCATTGCCACGGTAACAGGCTCGCTCAGTCTGGTCACTGTGGTGGGGAACATCCTGGTCATGCTGTCCATCAAAGTGAACCGCCAGCTTCAGACTGTGAACAACTACTTCCTTTTCAGCCTGGCTTGTGCTGACCTGATCATCGGGGTCTTTTCCATGAACCTCTACACTGTCTATATCATCAAAGGTTATTGGCCTCTGGGGGCTGTGGTGTGTGACCTCTGGCTGGCGCTGGACTATGTGGTGAGCAACGCCTCTGTCATGAACTTACTCATCATCAGTTTTGACCGGTATTTCTGTGTCACCAAGCCCCTGACTTACCCGGCTCGTAGGACCACCAAGATGGCAGGGCTGATGATTGCAGCAGCTTGGATATTGTCCTTTGTTCTCTGGGCTCCTGCCATTTTGTTCTGGCAGTTCATTGTTGGGAAGAGGACAGTCCCGGAGCGGGAGTGCTACATCCAGTTCCTGTCTAATCCAGCTGTGACTTTTGGCACAGCCATTGCTGCTTTCTACCTCCCAGTGGTTATCATGACTGTGCTTTACATTCACATCTCCTTGGCCAGCAGGAGCCGAGTGCGGAGGCACAAACCAGAGAGCAAGAAGGAGAAGAGCGCTAAGCCACTCAGCTTCTTTAAGAGCCCGCTGATCAAACAGAACAACAACAATTCTCCCAAGAGGGCAGTGGAGGTGAAGGAGGAGGTGAGGAATGGTAAAGTGGAGGACCAACCCTTAGCACAGACAGAGGCTGCAGGCCAGCAAGAAGAGAAGGAGACCTCCAATGAATCCAGCACAGTCAGTATCACCCAGACCACAAAAGAGAAGCAGATGGCAGAAATTTTACCAGCTGGGCAAGGGCAGAGTCCTGCCCCCCCACGGGTTAACGTGGCCTCCAAGTGGTCCAAAATTAAGATAGTCACCAAGCAGACTGGTACTGAATGTGTCACAGCCATTGAGATTGTCCCAGCTAAGACAGCGGCCTCTGCCCAGAACACCCTGTCGAACAGTCGCCCAGCCAATGTTGCCAGGAAGTTTGCCAGCATTGCCAGGAGTCAGGTGCGGAAGAAGCGCCAGATGGCAGCCAGGGAGAAAAAAGTCACCCGAACCATATTTGCCATCCTGCTTGCCTTCATTTTAACATGGACTCCTTACAATGTGATGGTCCTTATTAATACCTTCTGTGAGACCTGCGTGCCAGAGACAGTGTGGTCTATTGGGTACTGGCTCTGCTATGTCAACAGCACCATCAACCCAGCCTGCTATGCCCTCTGTAATGCCACTTTCAAGAAAACCTTTAAGCACCTTCTCATGTGCCAGTACAGGAACATTGGCACCGCCAGATAAGCTGCACTGAGGGACTGCTTGGCAGGGTTGCAAAGACTCATTCCTTTGCCTCTTCTTTTAGGGAGTTCTCTGCTCCCCACTCACAAGAGACATGGACGGTTCAGAGCTTCCACACGACGCCCTTCTCCCAGTGCGGAAGAAAATCCAAAGCAGCTGTCAGATCCAGCTCTTGTAATCGTTTTCAGCCTAGGGAGTCACCTGAGGAGCCCTCAGCTCAACACAAAGAGCAGCGCCTCTTCCTACACAACCTCTGCCTCTGCACTGGAAGAAAACAAGGAAGAGCATGTCCCTACCACCAGGTGCCATGGTTACCTTGAACTCCACGTGGCTCTTCCCTCTGGTAACGTTGGCTGATTTGGCAGCTATCTTTTGTTCTCTAGGTAAAACCATGGAGTTTCTAAATGGGTTCCCTGCTGATCACACCTGTGTGCTGGCTTGTGTCACTGTGCAACAAGACACCACGTAACTGAAATCCTTCTCCCACCAACTGAGCATCCTGATGGCTTTGCAGTGAGCATGGAGAGAAGGTTCCTGGTGTCATGAGGGGTTCAACAGGGTCTTAAACCCAAGAGAAAAAGCCACTTTGTCATACATCAGGTGTCCAATGATTCCTTTTGGATGAGCCTGGACTGGCTGGAAAAGGCCCGTTAGACTACCAGGCTGTCTCCCTGGGGCCAGGATGGGATTGTTCTCAATCATGCATTCTCTAGTGGCTTTAATCATCCCAAGGAATGGATGGGGCTCCCCCCTTCCCTCTGGGGAGGTGACTTTCTGGCCTGAGCCATCCGCTGTCCATCCTCAGGGTTCCCTTTCTGAACTCCATCCCCTCCCTGCAGGGGCTGGAGGTAGAGCCTGATGGAGTGAGACACTTGTTTCTAGGTGATAAGCATAACATCAAATGTCATCCTGAAAAGCAAAAGAGCTTTTAAAACTGCAAGGAAAAAAATGTCAGTGTGCGAGATTTATCTGCTCAGCCCTGAGGGAATGTGACCTCTGGGACCTGTGTGTGGCAGCATTAAAAATAACTATCCGGGGAAGGGGTGCACTGCTTAAAGGACAGCAATGCAGAGAGAAACTGCTCCTGCTGCTGAAAATCGGCTCAGTGGTGGGGAGGAAGAGGCTGTGGAGTTATTTGGGGTGGCCAAGGCTCCGTTAGGGTCATGTGGGCTGCAGTGCGTGTGTTCCTCTGGCAGAAGGGACACTCCACCTTTGGGGCTCTGGACCTGGGCAGGGGACAGGAAGGTGTGACAACGTGGCTGTCCCCAGAGGCTGCTGTCCCAGGTGCCAAGAAGCACCAGGGGTGGGAGAAGGAGCTGGCCACAGAGCTTTGTAAATGGAATAATCCTCTCGTCAGTGTTGTCATGGAGTCCTCAGCATGTGGGGTTCAATGTAAATGTACAGCCCAAGCCCTAGTGTATTGTGTACAGGACAAACCAATTCATGCTGTTGCTCAGCTTCTCCCAAAGGCAAACGCTGTCTGCCCTCCTGGGCCCAGTCAGACAGCTGGGTGGGGCACAGGGGCTGTCCTGCACTGGGGTGGGGGAAGGGGAACAGAGGTGAGCAGAGTCCATCAGGGGCTGGGTGCGATTCTACGTGTCTGTACAGTGGCACAGGGGCTGTCCTGCACTGGGGTGGGGGAAGGGGAACAGAGGTGAGCAGAGTCCATCAGGGGCTGGGTGCGATTCTACGTGTCTGTACAGAGGGTCTCCCTGCCACTCCCCCAGGGATATTGTGCAACTTGGACAAAGGCCAATTACTTTGACCGGCAATGGCGTCAGCCTCACTGCTGCTGCCTTTTGGCTAATTTGCATAGTGTTACCCAAAATGCCTTGCGTTTTGTTTTTTTTAATCGTAACAACTCCAGTGGAACCCACTTAAATGAATAAAGGAATCAAACTTGAAACCAAAGGCCTTGCAGTGAGTAATTCATGCTCAGGCAGCCAGCTCCAGAGGCCACCCTCCTCATGGCCCTTTGGTGTGAGGCCGTTCCGTGAGTAGGCGCTGTCCCTAGGCCGCTCTAGCAAAGCCTTCACTGTGCTGTCAGTGGTGCACATGAAGGGCTGAAACCGACACACCAAGCTGGGGGCACCTCTGGGCATTGCTTGGTTGGCTGGCTCTACAGGCAAGAGGAGGAGGAGCTGCTGCATTAGGGCAAATGACTGTTGATTCTATTACGTTTATCCTTTCCTGGTCCAGTGGCTTATGATCAGGGGCCTGTCAGTCACAGGGCCCAACATCCCTACATGGGCAAGTCGGGTCTAGGTGCAGCACTGTAAAAGTGGGGGGGAGGGGGGAGGACTCTGTGGAACACTGAGGCCTGTAGGACCAGCACACCCCCTGCCTGGAGAGGGGGGAGCCGCCTTACGCAGCAGCATATGCCCAAAGCAACTTCACATTGCTCTTAGGTTTCAATTAGCTCCATCCCTGTGCTGATGTGGCAGCCATTACGCTATGATAGATGAGGAATTGGGCCTGCTGTGAGGGCAGGGGCCTGGAATTGATGATCTCTCAAGGTCCCTTCCAGTTCTAGTATTCTGTGACGCTATGACTGCCAGCGAGCACAGGTACTAGGACAGTGGTCTCCAACCTTTTTAACCACAAGATCACTTTTTCAATTTAAGTGCAATGTAAGAGCTACCTCACGCCCAAATACCCTTGTCCCGCCCCTAGTCCACCCCTTCTCTGAGGTCTCATCCTTCCTTACTCACTTTCACCAGTCTGGGTAGGAGGTTGGGGGCAGGCTCTGGTCTTGGGCCAAGGGGATGGCGTGTGGGAGGGGGCTCTGGCCTCAGGGTTGGGGATTGAGGTCCAGGAGGGGATTCCAGGTGCAAGCTCTGGGAAGGAGTTTGGTACAGGGGGACTCATGTCTGGTGTAGGAGAAGGATCAGGGCTGGGACAAGGGTTCAGGAATCAGGCGCTGGCTGGGCACCGTTTAACTGAGATGGCTTCCAGGTAGTGGAGCGGTGGGGTTGAGGCAGGCTTACTCCTGCTTCCTGAAAGCAGCTGGCATGTACAGCAATGGCAGGTGCAAGCTCTGGGAAGGAGTTTGGTACAGGGGGACTCATGTCTGGTGTAGGAGAAGGATCAGGGCTGGGACAAGGGTTCAGGAATCAGGCGCTGGCTGGGCACCGTTTAACTGAGATGGCTTCCAGGTAGTGGAGCGGTGGGGTTGAGGCAGGCTTACTCCTGCTTCCTGAAAGCAGCTGGCATGTACAGCAATGGCACCATGGTGCCATGTGCTGCCCCTCATCTACAGGCACGGACCAGTTCCCTGTTACTGATCATGGGGAGCTGCAGGGGTGGTAGCTGTAGGCAAGGACAGCCTGTGGAGACCCCCTGCTCTGCCTCTCTCAAGGGCTGCAGGGACATGCCAGCCACTTCCAGGAGCAGCAATTCCCATAGGGATAATTACTCCAGCCACAACAGGTTCGGCATTTTAGAACTCACTACGCAAAGAATTAAATTTAAGTGTAAGAGAGAAATGAAAACGATGAATTGCACAGACCAGTCAAAACCCAAAACTAATCCACTTGGCAAGCAGTGAAAGTAATAACAATGAGTGAAGGATAACTACGTCTACACTGGAGCTTCTCGTGCAAAAATTCTTCCAGAAGAGAGCATCTACACTGGCATGTGCCTTTGTGCAAGAGCATCCATGCCAGTGTAGACGCTCTCTTGCGCACAAAAGCTCTGGTGGCCATTTTAACCATCGGGCTTTCTTGAACAAGAAATTCATGTTGCCTGTCTACACTGGCCTCTTGCGCAAGAACAGTTGCACAAAAGGGCTAATGCCTGAGCGGGAGTGTCAGAGTTCTGGCGCAAGAAGCACTGATTTTATACATTAGAACGTCAGTGTTCTTGTGCAAGAACTCACGGCCAGTGTGGACAGGCAGCCAGTTTTTGCGCAAGATCGCGCCAGCGTAGACACAGCCACAGTGTGTGAGTGGGACAGAGGTTTACATTGCCACGCTCCCACCAGCCCCTTCTCCCTGTGTGGAGCTCAGTCAGGCTCACCGGTCAGCGGCTCCAAGACCTACCAGTAGAGCCCGGTCTACTGGTTGGTGACCTCTGTGCTAAGGATTTTTCTCCCTTGCAGGTGCAGGGAAGTGTTGAGGGACGGACTCGGGCAGCTGCCCTTCTGTGAAAGCTCTGAAAGCTAAGCTGAGGCATCTCTGGCTAGCGGGATGAAGGCCCCTGCCTGCAGAGCTTTCCCCACCACATGTGGAGCAATCGCCTGGTGCAGTGGCTAACTCCTGTCTGACTGGGCAGTTCTCTTCAGTGGGGCAGTGTAACTGGTACCAGAGCCACATATGCCGGGAATGCAGTGGGTGGATTTAAAGAATACTTGCACAAAAAGGGACCCGTGTTACATGGCTGCCAAAGGCCTACTGGTTTGGTTCACCTGCACCTCCCGATGGGTTGTGTCAAATGGCTGGGGCGGTTGCTACAGCCAGCTGCAATGAGGCGCAGGTTCCTATCCTGTACAGCTGTGGTCAGTGGGACGCTATGGCAGGGGCAGGTGCTGCAAGGTAGATGCTGAGGCATTTAACTTGCTGGTCTCTTAAGGTGGAATGTGGCATCCACATTCTGCCTATCCAAGGGCAGGCCAACAGCTTGATGGGTAGCACAGGCTAGAGCAGCTCACAGGCTGCACCTCTGGGGGCAGGTGGGCTTCCAGATGCTTGGGTAGAGTGGAGAGACAAGCTTCCTCTGGGGTGGGGTTCAGCACGCCCAGAGAGGAGCCAGGCAGCAGCCCCTTGTGGCTTGGCCATATGCCCTCTCCTTAGAAGGCCTCCCTTTGCCTGGTGCCCTGCAGAGGCTAACACAGGCCTTGGGGCTGTGGGCAGTCCCCCTAGAACACATTTGTCTTGTCAGCGCCTCAGCGAGGAATAGCTGTTAGCTCTCTGGCAGTTGATGCTATTTCATTAAGTCGCTTGTTGGCGGCATTAAGTCTAGTTGCACCCTTGCCTTGCCTGGCATGTCTGCCCAGGCTAAGCCTGCTGCTGCTTTCTCCAGTCCTGCAGGGAGTGGCTATGCCAGGACTAGCCACAGCTTCCTCACAGCCAGGCTGCCACGCCACATGCTGCAGCCATGCTGGCCTTGAGATGCTGGCCTGGATCATGCAGCACTAGTCCTAGGTGACTTGCCCAGGGGGCCCTTGTGGGGATCAGAGCATGGGCAGTAACAGCATCTGCTGGGAGAGGCTGACACTGGGAAGAACTGTGGGTGCCACCATCACAAGTGCTCCTGCCTTATTCTCTGCACCACCCCGTGGGACACACCGGGCGTAGAATAGCTAGTGGCAGATGCCAGCTTGTGGGTAAGGGCCATAACCAATCGCCTGCAGGCGTGGGGAGGCGGAAGTCCAGCACAGTAAACCAGCCAGTTCCACCCAGACAAGCAGAAACGGGACTTCATGTGTCTGAAGCCTGGCCCCTCGCCAGGATGGTGAAAGCTCTACAGGCCTGTGTCAGGGCAGGGAATTCACCAGCTTTGCACAAAGCTTAGACCGACTGCATAGGCAAGGGGCTCTCAACCGCCCACAGCATAGGCCATCCCTGACCAGTGCCGTTGTACAATCCAGCCCGGGCGTTCCAGTGGGTGGGGGAGGCCCACCCCTGCCCCAGCCCCCCCAGTAGTTTCAGGGATTACAGCTGGGAGGGGGAGCCTGGCACCGGGCAGCAGCAGCAGTTAGGCTCCCCTGTACTCCATGGCAGCAGGGAAGCAGTGCAAGTCCACTGAGACTGCTGGGCTGCATCTGGCAAGCTCTCTGGGCGAGGCTGGCCTGTGGGCCGGGAGTTTGAGCCCCCGTCATAGCCTCAGCCATTAAAGGCCAGAAGGGGTTAGCACAATCAGCAGTTCTGACCACCCCCGCGGGGGGGGGGGGGGGGGCGCAAAGGATTATGCCAATCCTTAGTCAAGCCAGGAAGCCTCCTTGGGGAAAAGCCATAAAAGAGCGTCTAGACTGGTGCGATCCTCCGGAATAAAGCCCTTTTCCGGAGGATCTCTTATTCCTACTTGCAAGTACGTGCCTCTTGCAAGTAGGAATAAGAGATCCTCCGGAAAAGGGCTTTATTCCGGAGGATCGCGCCAGTCTAGACGCTCTTTTCCGGCTTTTCCCCGAGCCGGAACAAAAGCGGCGGCCATGTTTATTTAAATCCCGCGGGGGATATTTAAATCCCCTGTGGATTTCCCTATTCTGACTTGCTTGCTTTGCATGCCTCTTCCGGAGAAGGGGCCAGTAGGAATAAGAGATCCTCCGGAAAAGGGCTTTATTCCGGAGGATCGCGCCAGTCTAGACGCTCTTTTCCGGCTTTTCCCCGAGCCGGAACAAAAGCGGCGGCCATGTTTATTTAAATCCCGCGGGGGATATTTAAATCCCCTGTGGATTTCCCTATTCTGACTTGCTTGCTTTGCATGCCTCTTCCGGAGAAGGGGCCAGGCTAGACGTAGCCTAGCAGTAATAGACTGGCACCATAAACTGCAACCACGACCACCTCCCTCTATAGCTACCTGGTTTACAAATCCTCTCCTGGCCCAGGCTTAACCTTAGGTCTAAGTCACACTGCAGGCTTTTTGCAGAACAGCTGTTGTGCAAAAACTTGTGGAGCATCTACACTGCACATGCATTTCTTGTGCAAGTGAATTTACAGTAAAGCAGCAGAAAAGAGGGCTTCTTGTTCAAGCATTACTCCTCTCCCCATGAGGAATAAGCCTTCTTGCACAAGAAGGCAGTGTGGATGGGCAACAGGTTTCTTGCACAAGAACCCGCCGTGGCTAAAATGGCCATTGGAGCTTTCTTGCGCAAGAGAGCGTCCATACTGCCATGGCCGCTCTTGCGCAAAAGCACATGGCAGTGTGGACGTGCTCTTGTGCAAGACCTTTTGTGCAAGAACGCTTGCGCAAACCAGTTCTTGCACAAGAAGCCTGCAGTGTAGACATAGCCTAGGAGTTTTGTTCCCAGTATGCCCTGGGTAGAGACCAAGTGCTGCAGTGCCAAGGTGGCCTGTAATTCTTGTTCTACTTTCTCTGTCTTACCCCACTATTGATTTATTCACTTTAATTAATGCAGAAGCTGTTTAACACAGTCTTGGTCCAGCCCTCTCCTCGGAGCCCTGGCTAACCCGCCAGGCTAGGCAGCAGCCACAGGACTGATCCCGTAGCTAGTATGTCACAGTGTTTCCTGGCTGGCACCACCCAGAGTTCCCAGAACTGAAGCAGGACATGGGACTATAGGTGGGTTTGTTTTTTTAAAAGACTTTTATTGGAAAAGAAAAACAATCCAAAAGTGGTGAGGGCTGGCCCAAAACCTGTGTGAGCACGGAAAACAGGGAGAGGCCACAGCGCCCCGGCACAGACATGGATTAGAAGAAACAGACGGGAAAGGAAAAGGGAAAGGCCCATGAACCTGGGTGGCGGGGAGGGTGGGGGTGGCAGGGGAGGGAATTTTTCCTGGTTGCTGCAGGAGTCTCAGGGTTGCACCTTCTGGTGGAGATGCAGGCAGCAGGAAGGGGTCACCCTGGCCAAAAAGGCCAGGCCTTGGGTGAGCAACTTGTGAGCCAAATGCAGGGCAGGGGAAGCTGCAGGCACACAGCAGCCCACTGCTGGGACAGACGCATGGTGCCTCTCGCAAAGTCGAGGCAACCAGAACGAAGGGGCTAAGGGGACGGCTCCACATTTTTCCATTGCACATGAGCCCAGGCAGGCACTGGGCTCCACCCTTCCTGCTCATTACACCTCCCCTCCGTGACCCGGCCATCAACAAGGTCAGCGCTTTAGCTTTTCTGTTTCCTTAAAGCACCCCTGTGAATCAGACAGGGCACAAGCTTCCCACAGATGTGCCGGAGGCCACTGAGCTCCAACAAGGGGTCCAGAAGGTGAAGGGCTCCAGCTGCTCCCAGCTCAGAGCTCCCCACGCACATGGCACTGAACAGTTGAAAACAGATGCAGGGAAGCGAACACTGGGTCCAAATAAAGGCACCTGACAGTGGCACGGAGTGGGGCTGGGGAAGGTAAACAGCACCTCCTTCAGGCAAGGGCGGGTTTGGTCTCTACACAGCTAGTGATTAGAAAAGGCATCTCAGTTAAGGAGGAAGTTGCAGGGGGCTGGGGGAGGAGGAAGAATGGAATCTGGCAAAACATTGCCGAGCAGGGGGACCGTGCTGCAGCTCCGAGTGGTGGATGTCCAAATGGGTTCAGGCACCGTGTCTAGGAGATAGGAGGGTCGGGCCATGCCTTCTAGTCCTTCCCCTTCCCTTTCCTGGCTGTTTGGAACAACAGAACAAGAGACCAGTTAGCGCACACCCAGGTACAAGCTGCAGCGGGGGTATCTGCAGTGGGCACTTAACAGGGCACAAAGCCTCCTGCAGACCTCTGGCTCAGGTTCTGGCTGCAGTGGCACATGGGTCAGGCAGCTGCACTGAATCTAGCCAGAGCCAAGCCGGGTAAATCCTGCAAGCCTGTGCATTGCCTGAGACGGCCTGTTGAGTGAGTCCCACATGGTGCTACTGGCAGATCCCAGACCTCCTGGCCTTTGACAAACCAGGAGGCACTTTACTATTTGCTTTAACTCAGTTGGGCTTTGGAGATACAGTGACTAGGTACGATTGGCAGAGCAAAGCAGGGGCCAGCATCCAACACCTGGACATGCCCTGGTCACCAATGGAGGGAGGCTGCCCAGGCATTGCTGTACCAGCTCAATGACCTATACACCACTGACTTGCACTCAGAAGCAGAGGGCAAGCACAGCTGGCAGTTCCCAGCTACAGCATTGACTCCAAGTGGCACAAGCAAAGTGTATCAAGACTCAAATGACTAGCCATGAGAATGGACTAGGGGCCTTTCATGCTTTGAAAGATCCCAACATGCCTCACAGGCTCTATAGCAGGGGTGGGGAACCTATGGCCTGATCTGGCTCTTGAGGCTCAGCACTCACTGCCCCGCCTCAGGGAGCTGTGCTCCAGCTCTGTGACCCCCTTTCTTCCCAGTACCCACACTTCTATTCCCCTCTTGCACCCTGCCTCCCGCCCAACCCTGCCACCCCCAACCTGCTTCTGCACCCTCCCAGACCCTACACTCGTAGGCTGCTTCCCAGCAGCTCCCTCCCACACACACAACCCTCATTTTGGCCTTACCCCAGAGCACAGCCTGGGCCCCCCGGCTCTGGTGTGCGAGGGGAATGTGGAGAGTGTCGTTCTGCTTCTCAGTCGTGTTTTTTTTTCTTCACACTTGTGCAGCCCCCAACTGATTTTTCTGTAGCTCAGCAGTCCTTGACCCAAAAAAGGTTCCCCACCCCTGTCTATAGGCAGATTGCTAAAGCACCATTGAAATGCAGCTCTCTCTAGAGTGTGCTGTACTGCAACTCACCAACTAAGGGAAAGAAAGAAGGTGAAATCTTGTCTCCATGGAAGTCCCTGGGGGCGTGGCGTGTCTCCAGCGAGGAGTTATTTCAAAATAACTCCCCTTGTTTTGAAACAACAAGATGAATGTCCACATTGCCAGGCCCGCTATTTCAAAATAATGGGCTAGTTATTTTGAAGTATTCCTCATCACAAGCAGGAGTAGTTAACGCCTATTTCAAAATACGCATTTCGGGTGTTATTATTTTGAAATAGTTTCCCAGTGTAGACATGCCCTGGGAGTGTTGCTAGTGGCAACAGGATTTCACACGGACACTCCTGTAGCCATTTGAAACAGCAGTGGGATTTGAAGCCCCATGGACTGTAAGGATCCAAAAAGCAATTTCACCAGGCTCGAGTTAACAACCCAGCTCTTATGAGCGGAGCCAGGAACTTAAGGAGCCCAAGTACCAAGGACCTCAGTGGTTTGTTTCCTCCAACAGTTACTCTGGCAGAGGCAGAGAGCTGCCCAGCACCATGCCAGCGCGCAGGCGCAGTACGGACCTGGAGCCCTTCCTAATGAATCACCAGCACCGCTTTGCAGTGGTAGAACGGTCCTTGGAAACACCATCACAACCGACCTAGCTTAGTCTGTAAGACCCAGCATGGTCACATGCCTAGCTGGGATGGCTCCGTTCCTCTTGAACGTGTCATGCATGCGACGTTCACTGGCTCCCCACACGCTGAGGTGGGATAAGGACATCTAGTGGTGGGACTGACCTTTGGATTTTGACTTGGACTTGGGAGAGCAGGGCTTGGTCACTTGGATGGTCTCCTGACATTCCGCATTGTATAGGGCTTTCTTCAGGGTGCCCGAACGGGCCTTCAGACCTGTGGCCGCATCGCACCCGCCCCAACTCTCAAACTTGTACTTGCAGTCGGCTGGAAGAGAGGTTGGAGACATCAGTTCTATGCAGGGCCCAGAGTAAATGGCAGCCTGATGGGAGCCCCAGGGACCATAGGTGCTGGAGCGAGGGGGGCTGCCCCACCCCTGGCTTGCACTGGTTTCCATTACACACAGCGTTGGTTCAAGAGCTCCCAGCACCCCCACTATACACAGTGTTCATGCTGCTCTATTGGACAACCTTGCATTGCATTCCCATTGCGCCGGTTAGTCGCGCTCTTCAGGCCCTCCAAGGCAGTTGGTCATCCTAGTTGACTGATCAGCACCCAGCTATACACAGCATGTGGTACCAGAACTGATCCCTGTGTCACAGACACAGCATCCAAATAGCATCTGGACAGCACTCGTGCTCCCTCAGGGGAACCTGATACCCAACTCTGTTCTTCACGGGCGTGTCTCACCGAACAGGCCATGCCAACAGGCCCGATACCCAGATGGTGAGGCACAGTTAGGCAGCTAGAAGGGAAAAGCAGATCAGGCTACTTGCCCCAGTCCCTGAACCCCAGCTCAAGCTCTGAAGACAGCAGCACCAGCTGCCATAGTCTCGGAGGGGTGCCAGGTCTGAACTGAGAAGGGCAGGCCTCACCGGCCAGGCAAATGTAAAGCAAAGCTCAGTTGTGAGATACTGTGTGAGGCCCCCAATTCTGCATTAGACCATTGGTCTATCTAACCTGCCCTGCAGCACTGGGTCACATCTATGGCCCATACAGCCTGTTTTCCCTAGGTGTCACCAAGGGCCAAACGTGGCCTGCAGAGCCTTCCCAAATGGAGTCCAACAGCAGCAGTTGAATCTGGAACCCTCCAGCCAGGACGAGCGTCTGCTCATTTCAGGCTAACCGGTCTCCAGTAGCAAATTCTGTGTCGGCCCCATGCCCTGTCTTCTCAGAGCGCAGCTACTGCTCGGATGGCAGAGCGTTTAGCCTTTCATCCATTGCATTGCACCCACAATGCACTGCTCTTTTCACTTTGGCTGAGAAAGAGACACGCCCCTGCCTCTCTCACCAGGGAGGTGCTGAAAAC